TTCCAGTTCCTGCATACCCCTGAAAATACTTAGGATTACTCTTTTTAATGCCAGAATATGGATGTGTTGATGGATTGATTGAAATTTATGGTTGGAAGGTAGAGTGACAGCTCTTCCATCTGCTGGTTCACTCCCCAGGTGCCTGCAATAGCCAAGGTTGGACCAGGCATAGTTCTAAGTCAGAAACTCCTTCTGGGACTCCCACGTGGGACTCAGGTACTTGAGCTGTTGGCTGTGAGGGTGCACATTAGCAGGAAGTTGGAATCCAATACAGAACCAGAACTCAAACCCAAGCACTCTGATGTGGGATGCACGTGTCTGTGCTAAGAGTGCCAGACTGCTGAAGTGTGGATTTCAGGAGAGAAGTCCAAATTAGAAAGAATTGTCAGTATATGGAATGATCAAAGAAGAGAATCTGTCAAAGGACTTAAGTCCTGGAGTCATGCCAACATATAAAGATGAGGCAGAATAGTGAGGTAGGGCAGCAGAGAAACAAGGATAGAGCAAGAACGAAATGATGTCCCCAAAGCCGAATGAAGGAAGTGTTGCTTCAGGTATCTCAGGGTGAGGATTGAGCATTGGCAGTTGGACTTGGCACTTTGCAGGGCGCTGCTGACAAGATCAGTGTCCATGGAGATGAAAGCCAAATTGTAGGAGAATTGAGAGATTAAGAGGATGAGGGTTTAGTGCTACCAGATATAGGTGGAGTCTTTGAAGGAGCTTTGCTCTGGAGAGGAATGTAAAATGAAAGCAAGGTTTGTTTTTAATTTGGGAGATAAATATCTGTCTGTTTGCTGATGGGCCTCATCCAGTAGACAAAGAGCACAATTATTGAAGTGATCTTGTATAAATGAGCCGGAATGGAATCTGGTTACAAAAGGCAGAACTAACCTTAACTAAGTCTGTACCATTTAATCCATTAAAGCAGAAGGGGAGGTGCAGTGTATGAGTGCATGGCTGTGTAGGTGGCTAGATATGGTAATGGCTTAAATCTCCTTTTATGATTGCTTTTCTGTTCTCAAGTAAATATGGAGGCCAAGTCCTCATCAGAGAGTGAGAAATGGGTAGTGTTAAAAAGTTGAAGGAAAAAATAGGTAAAATGTCATTGAAGAGAGTAGAAGAGGGACTGGTGTAGTTTAGGATTGAAAATACAGATTACCAGGCAGCACTTCTTTAGATAGCTGAATGTCTGTGAATGGGACTAGGATACTGATTACTTCTGCAAGTTTCTTTGAGCTCATCGTGCCCCTTCTACCATATGTCTTTTCCATTTTTCTATTTGAATCTCAGAAATATCTTTGCTTGCATAGTGACCTGAAGCCTTCATTTTGGACATATTTAGGTATTTAGGCTAACTTTGTATTAGTGTAGAACAGTTAAAGCAGTTCTTCCTGGTTCTGGTACAATGATAAATGTAAAACATGGCATCTGAAACTTCTTAACAGCTGAAGTGGTTCAAAAAGACTATTTAATTTTTAAGACGTTTTCCTAATTAGAAATCCAATATTTAAAACCTATCAACAAAATGAATTTGATGAGAATCCATTACACACTCCTGAAAGCATGACGTGAAAAATAAGGATTCTAGTGATAAGTGATAAGAGAAAAGGGGATTGATTAATGGAGTGAAAACATTTGTCTGTAAGTATAGCCTCCACTAGCGGAAGGGCAAGGGAAGGCAGAGGAAGGGGAAGCATGTGAAGGCAGTGCTGCTCACAGACTATGGAGAATGTTTTTAACACAATTCTCCATCCTGTAAATAGGACAGAATAGACTGTCCCAGAGTATGAGCCCTAGTGATGAGAACTGATGAAGTGAGCTGCTCTAGAACAGTAGGAACAAAGTGTGCTTCAGCACCACCTGCGAGTTTTTTAGAAATGATAATTATTGGAGTGGGCATTTGCCCTAGTGATTAAGATGCTGGATAACATGCCCACATCCCATACTAGAATGCCTGTGTTTGAGTCCTAGTAGCTTCCCGCTAATACTCTGGGTGACAGCTGATGATGGCATAAGTGGTTGTGTCCTGCCACCCATATGGCAGGAGCTAGATTGAGTTCCCAACTCTTGATTTCCTTGCCGTGAGAAATGAGAATATTCTGTCTCTGTGTCTTAAATCAAGAGAAATATCAAATGCTACTTCTAAAAGAATACGAAGAAATGCCGGCTACCAGCTCTCCCCAGATGTGTGGTAGGGTGACTGGTGTCTGGGTCTTAACAAGCTCCCCAGAAGATTATAATGCAATCTAAAGCTGGAGAACCAGTGCTCTGACAAGTGAGTCAGGAATGAAGAATTAATACCTAGCCATACCAGAATTGAAGATAAAAGACTTTTCTACTTTTTCTTTAAAGTTTGACTAATTTATCTGGTGAAGCTTATTTATTTGCAAAAGCTTTGTTTTTTTGTTTTTGCTGATTTTTAGAAAAGTGTGCTTTAAAGGGGAGAAAATTTCTGGGAAACTTTAGTGTATTACCTGACAGTTCTTGCCTCTTGACAAAGTTCTAATCAAAATCTGAAAGAGATGCCTTTTACATTGCATTCACTGAACTTTGAATTACTTAAAAAACTAAATGAAAAACAAACATTTTCCCTTAATTGGTACCATAATAAATTAGTAAAAGTTAAAAGAAACTGGAAAAAAGATTTGTTACACATAACTGATAAAGATTAGCATCCAGAGTATATTAAAACTCAGTGTAGGGCCCGGCACCGTGGCCTAGTGGCAAAAGTCCTCGCCTTGAATGTGCTGGGATCCCATATGGGCGCTGGTTCTAGTCCCGGCAGCTCCACTTTCCATCCAGCTCCCTGCTTGTGGCCTGGGAAAGCAGTCGAGAATGGCCCAAAAGCCTTGGGAACCTGCACCCGCGTGGGAGACCCAGAAGAGACTCCTGGCTTCGGATCGGCATAGTATCGGCCCGTTGTGCTCACTTGGAGAGTGAATCATCGGACGGAAGATCTTCCTCTCTGTCTCTCCTCTCTGTATATCCGCCTTTCCAATCAAAAAATAATAATAAAAATAAATCTTTATAAAAAATACATTATTTGAAAAGCAGAGTTAGAAAAAGAGAGCTTCTGTCCTGGTTCACTCCCCAGATGACCACAACGAGTTGGGCTAGGCCAGACCTAAGCTAGGAGCCTAGAGTTTTATCTGAGTGTCTCATCTTCCACTGCTTTCACGGGCACATTAGCAGGGAGCTGAATTGGAAGTGGAGCAGCCAGATCATGAACTGAACAAGCACTCAACACTCAGGGGCTGCTGATACATCAGAAAGCATCGTAACTGGCTCTACCTCTGCCACAAGGCTGTACCCTCCCCTGTTTTTTTAAACAATACTATGAACATTGTGTAATAGATTTCACTTTGGAATAAGGAGAAACAATTTTTTTGGAATAAGCTATTAAGTCTCTTCAAGTAATATTGTTCCAAATTTGTAGGACTTAGACTACATATGTATGACCTTTACCTCTAAAATTTCCTTACTATCCTGTTGCCTTGTTAGAGTGCTGAATTAGTAACCATTGAATTATGACCCATATTGGAACATTTTTGAGAATAAGAGAGAGGATGTCAAAGTAATGAAAATTCCTAATTTCATTTTCATGAATGTTTTTAATTACTCTTATATTAAAATTGAGTCATATTAGCCTTCAAAAACTTCATTTAAACAAATATACTTGGAACATACTGTATTGAAGCAATCTAGTAGAGTAATTTGAAAGTCATTGATGACTCAAATTCAGTCATTAGAAATTCTGTGGATTCGTGCAGTAACTCAACTGGCTAATTCTCCACCTCCAAGCATGGCATCCCATACGGGCACAGTTCATGTCCTAGCTGCTCCATTTCCAATCCAGCTCCCTACTGTGACCTGGGGGAAGGCAGAAGAGGATGGCCTGGATCCTTAGAATCCTACACCCACATGAAGGACCACGAGGAGCATCCTGATCCTTGCTCTTGGCTCCAGGTCAGCTCAGTTCCAGCTATTGTGACCGTTTGGGGAGTGAACCATGGATAGATCTTTCTGTTTGTTTCTCCTTCTCTCTGTAAATCTGCCTTTACAATAAAAGAAAATACATCTTTTAAAAGTTCTATTAAGTAGCTTCTTAAAAATGTATTTAAAAAGCAATGCTCGGCTATTGTTCTAATTCATACAAGTTGTTGACCTTGTTTCATGTCTTCTCAATTATGGAAATGTATAGTGATGGAGTACTGGGGTCTACCATATCCAGATGTGGACTTATAATGGAACATGCATCCCTGCTTCCAGACGAAAGATGGAACCCCAATGATTCTCTTGGACATGTGTAGACAATGGGATGCTGGATTGTCTGACATTTTCTGTACCCACAATGTTGGAGTACACTTAAATGAGAGACTGATGGAATTATAATTCCTTATAAAGGATTATACCACTGTAGTAAAATGAGGAAAATCTGTCGGGGGATAGAAGTTTGGGGGGAAATCTCAGCCTGTATGAAATTGTACCACATAATTCAAAGTTCAAAATAAAAATTTATTTAAAAACAAACGAAAAATAAAAAGCAAAGCTCTTGTTCACTGGTTCACTCCACATATATACACAATGGCTGGGTCTGGGCCAGGCTGCAGCTGGGAACTAGAAACCAATCCCGGTTTCCCCTGTGGACGGCACTTGCTGTCACCTGCTAATTCCCAGACTGTACATTGGAAGTGGAGCCAAGACTGTGTAATAGGATGAGCATACCTCAACCAGTAGCTTAGCTACTAGACCAAATTCCTGCCAAGGGCAGCTGTTCTAATGATTTCAGTTTTATATCCTCCCATTTATTTGTTCTCCATTTGGCTTGTTGTCATCAACAAAGTATCAGTCATTAAGATAATGAATGATCTATAGACAAGGATAGCATAGCATTCAAAGAATATATGACACATGGAAAGGTGTATTTCACTTAACCTGTTAGTAGTTCTAAATAGTTGGAGGTGACAATAATTTAAATGTTTTGTTTCTTCTCTCCATAGCTTTAAAAACAAGTAGAAATTACTTCCGACTTTACTGAATAGCAAGTATTAAGTGATTCCCTATACTGCAAATCATGGCATTACCATTCCGGAAGGACTTGGAGAAGTACAAGGACCTTGATGAAGATGAACTCCTTGGGAATCTGTCAGAAGTGGAATTGAAACAACTGGAAACTGTTCTGGATGATCTTGATCCAGAGGTAGGTACTGACTGAAGGTACGTGGGAGAACTGTTCAGTCCTTTGACACTAGGTAACTATCTTTGAACAGTTAGCTTTCATAACATTTTCTAAGCACCTGTTGCTCCCTCCTCCTTTTTATCCCAAATTAACTTGATTTTTTGCTTTCACTATGGTTACTTGATTTCTGTTTCCATATATTTATGCTGTGACTATTCCAAACTACCTTTTCCAATATCATTTTTTAAAATATAATTTTTAGAATTTATTTTTATTAGAAAGATAAAATTACAGATTGGAGGAGAAACAGAGATCTTCCATCTGCTGGTTCTCTTCCCAGCCAGCAAATGCTGGACCAGTCCAAAGCCAGGAGCCAGAAACCCCCTCTTGGTTGCAGGAGGCCAAAGACTTGGCCGTCCTCTGCTGCTTTCCCAGGCAATTATTAAGGAACTGGACAGGAAGTGAAGCAGCCAGGACTTGAACTTATGCCCATGTAGGATGTTGGTGCTATAGGTAGAAGCTTAACCTACTATACCATTGCTCCAATCCCATCAGTATCCTTATTTTCACGGATCTGCTGGGATTTTTGTTCTACTCTAAGGTATTTTTGTTTCTAAATGGGGAAAATTTTAGTAAAATGCATTGGATGACTACCTCTTCAGTATACACCAAACTCTACAGAGACCTCATATCAGTATGCATTACCCCCAAAAGGCTCTTTGTGAATGTCATTCCGTATCTTTCCAAGAGATGTTCATTAAATTAAGATTGGGGGAGTTGGTGGGGTAGATCTGGGTAATATAAATATTACAGCCTTTGATTATGGAGCAGACGCAAATACAGATGTTTCCTTTTCTTAAAATTTAAGCTTTAATGGACTCATCATAAGCTGAAAAAAATCATTACATCAAAAGTGTGTTGAATATATCTACCAAACTGGATTTTCTAGATTACGCTCGCCAACTTTAAAAATGCTCAGAACACTTACAATGACCTACAGTTGGGTTAAATCATGTCATTCAAAGTCATTGTAAAGCGAAGACTATTTCATGTAATTTATTGACTACTGTCCTGAAAGTAACAAACAAGGTAGTTTATATAGCTACAACTGTATCGTTATAAGTTGAAAATTTTTAATCTGAACCAGCATAAATGAGGGTATCATCTGCATATATATTTATATATTTATATATTTATATGTTATAATCTGAAAAGGGTTGAGGATCCTTTCTTTCAGTGTAAAGCTGTTTATTTAGTGAATTACACAGAACCAAGATGTAGATCCTAAGCTCTTGGCATGATTTGTAGAAGGAAAGCAGTGAGAAAAGCAAACAAACAAAAAGCAGAAAGTTGTAATTTTGATTTACCACTTTTTTTAGGCTGAAATATTGATTTTAAGTGTTATTTAAGAATCCAGTTAATTTGTTCTGTAAAATAGTTCTTTTAATGGGTGAGGTGTCTGTACCGTGAATCAAATCCCTAGATAATTTCATAATTACTTTTCAAAAGAAAAGCTCCCAGTCTACCTAAGACGGGGAGAATTACTCGGGATACACAGTGCCATTTCTGTTATGGCATGACAATATATTCTACAGGCATTCAATGTCAGACTTATTGAAATCAGATGGTTTTAAAGCTTGAAAGAACGTGAGAGTGTGTGGTACAAGCCTCAGCCTTGGCCTTGCCTGGCTGCCTCACCCTTGGCCCTGCCTGGCTGCCGTGCTTGTGAGTGTGGAGGCTGTCTTGTGCACTGCAGCGTGTTTCTCAGCATCACTGGTCCCTGCTCACAGGTTGCACGGTGGCACTCCTCTCTGGTAAATGCTGTCAGAGGTACATTTTAATCTGGTTCGGTAGAATGACAGGTATAGTGGCCTTAAAGAAAAGGTTATTAGAGTTCCCAGGAACAGGTGGTACCCCATGCCAGCAGTAGTTCCTGGGCAGAGGTATACTGTCTGTGAAGAGACTGAAAAGTAAGGAGCAAGTCTGACCCACAGCCTGTATTGTGTTTGCAAGGAATGCATGGGTGAGGCAAGGCAGGCGAATTAGGGCAAGTTTAGAACTGGAGAATTTGGATAATTTCAGCAGGCCTTGAGGCTCTGGAATTGGTCTTTAGTCGCCTCTTGCCTGGCTTTGGAGTGATTTAGAGCAAAGGAAATATAGGTTTAGTGTGTGAAAGTTCAAGAAAGAGATAGTTAGGGTTCTGAACCCTTGGGTTGGTTTGGTTGGTTTGTATATTTAAAGATGTACTCCTGGGCTGGCACAATGACTTAACTGGTTAATCCTCCACATCCTTATGGGTACCAGTTCATGGCCTGGCTGCTCCACTTGCCATCCAGCTCCCTGCTTGTGGCCTGGGAAAGCAGTGAAGAATGGTCCAAGTCCTTGGGTCCCTGCACCCTTGTGGGAGGCATGGAAGAAGCTCCTGGCTCTTCCATTGTGGCCACTTGGGGAGTTAGCCAGCAGAAGCAAAATCTTTCTGTCTCTCCTTCTTTCAGGAAATCTGCCTTTCCAATAAAAATTCTAAAGGTCTTAAAAAAAGAAAAAGATATGCTCCAGGGAGAGAGAACCGGAGGAGGTGACAGATAATGTGGTCTCAAAGAATTAGCTATCCCCGGGAAGGGTGATCTCTCCAGGATTAGAAGGCCCCCAATATGTCAAAACATCATACAATACAGGGAATAAAACATGATTAATACTCCCAGATCTACAGTTAGGACAGCCAAAACCATCTTCACACATTCCAGATCTCCCCAGGCGATAAAAATGCACCTGGTTGCGAAACATTAATTTAGAACCCGTTTTCTGTTTTATAAGTATAAAACAGAAGACAAATGACAGGCCTGGTTGTTAGGGGCTAGTATAAGAACCGAGACTAAATCTCTCACTACCTAATGGATACCTGGCAGGGTCTTACTGTCTTTTTGGTAAACCTCAGTGACTCCTGTTTTAACTCATAGACTATGGTTTCAGTCTATAATCTTACAGTTTATGTTTTTTTACTTGCAAATAGATGGCTTGCTTCCCAAACAGAGAAGTTTGAATTCTAACTCCTAGATGTATTTTGCAAATTCTCCAACCGCTATTGCAAATCAACCAAGTTCGGATATCATTAGTTGAGACTAGGAAAACAGTGGTGTCTGTTGACAGCATGCCACATGTTTTTTTTTTTTTTAAGATTTTTTTTTTTTCATTTTTATTGGAAAGGCAGATATACTGAGAGGAGGAGAGACAGAGAGGAAGATCTACCATCCGATGATTCACTCACTCCCCAAGTGGCCGCAACAACTGGAGCTGAGCCAGTCCGAAGCCAGGAGCCAGGAGCTTCCTCCCGGTCTCCTACATGGGTGCAGGGTCCCAAGGCTTTGGGCCATCCTCGACTTCTTTCCCAGACCACAAGCAGGGAGCTGGATGGGAAGCGGGTCTGCCGGGATTAGAACCGGCGCCCATATAACCAAAGTGAGGGCTTTAACCACTACACTATTGTGCCAGGTCCACCACATGTTTTTGAAGTGAGTTCTAGTAAAACTGTAGGTAAGAGGGCCAAAGAGCTAGAAGCTACTTCAGCCAAGGAAGCACTGTAACATACAGTCTCACAAGGTAGTCTCAGAGCAGGTAACCTGTGTGTGTGGTGTCTTGCTGGAGTTTGGAGGGTGATTTTATTGTCTGTATGCTGTATTCAGTTCATGTTTCCTAACTTACTGCATTTTCATAAAACCTGTCCCGTGGCAGACAGCCCAAGTAATTACTGTTTTTCATTTCCTAGGCAGAGAATGTATAATTACAATAAAATCTCACTGTAAGGTAGAAGCATGTCATTTTTTTAAAGATAGATTTATTTTATTTTTATTGCAAAATCAGATATACAGAGAGGAGGAGAGATAGAGAGGAAGATCTTCCATTTGTCGATTCACTCCTCAGGTGACTGCAACGACTGAAACTGTGCCAATCCAAAGCCAGGAGCCTGGAGTCTCTTCCCGGTCTCCCACGCAAGTGCAGGATCCCAAGGCTTTGGGCCATCCTCAGCTGCTTTCCCAAGCCACAAGCAGGGAGCTGGATGGGAAGCAGGGCCACCAGGATCCCGGCACATTCAAGGCTAGGACCTTAGCTGCTAGGCTAACACACTGGGCCTGAAGTGTGTCATTAATACTGGCAATCGTATTAATGGGATTTTTATCTGTTAAATATTATCTGTTAGTTTTTACTTGATTAGAATATATTTCCTGATGAAACTTGGTTCATAGTCCCTAAGACCTGTTCTGTCATTTCCTCTGTGGTTAACCACTGTCTTTAAGGAGCCAGACTTGTAACTAACATTTTAAACTTTCTAGTGGGCTGAAGCAGGTGGGTGGGATAACACAATTCTGTCACCGGATTGATAAATTTGTATAGATGTGTGTGTGTGTGCGCATGCCTTGTTGATGAAGTATTCTAATTTTTAAAAATCTTATTTTCGTCAGTATTTGAAAGTATCTATTCCCCATAGACATTGGATACTGTGCTAGGCTTAGGGCTACAGGACGGAAGAAAGCAAGAGTGGTCTTTGCCCTAAATGATGCGGGAAGGTAGGGATTAAGGGAGTTGGGGTTTAATCAAGTAACTTACCATATTAAAAGAATGGGAAGCTCTACAACTCTAAGAGTTATGATGAAGGTTCAGGGAAAGTTTCCTTTAGAGCAGTGGAGCTACCACTTGAATGATGAGTAACATAAAGGGATAAACAGCATTTCAGGCAACGGGAGACCATATGTGTAAAGGTCTGTAAGGGAAGGGAGTGTCAGGGGGCTTCACAAAGTTTGTAGAAATGCTTATTAATAATGAAGATAGTAAACATAGACTTCAAAAAAGTTTTGCTTGAACTTTTTATTTTTATTTGTTTTTTAAAGATTTATTTTTATTGCAAAGTCAGATATACAGGTAGAAGAGACAGAGAGGAAGGTCCTCCATCCGATGTTTCACTCCCCGAGTGGCCTCAATGGCCAGTGCTGTGCAGATCCAAAGCCAGAAACCAGGAGCTTCTTCCAGGTCTCCCATGTGGGTGCAGGGTTCCAAGGCTTTTGGTGTCCTTGACTGCTTTCCACAAGTAGGGAGCTGGATGGGAAGCGGGTCTGCCGGGATTAGAACCAGCGGCCATATGGGATCCTGGGGCATGCAAGGCGAGGACTTTAGCTGAAGGTCACTGAGCCAGGCCCAGATTGAACTTTTTAATTCTCTTTTTCTGTGACTAGAATAAGAAGGGGAAAAGATACAGCGTGACTAGAGTAAGTGAGGGAGTATATGAGATGAGGCAAGGTAACGGACTGTGCTGGTGGGAGGGAGGGTTGAAAAATTATCAGGCAGCTGATTCGGGGAGGGCAACTGGGAGGCTGACTAACATTCCAGGCAAGCTTGAGTGGTAGGTTCAGCCAAAGTACCAAAGTGATGGTGTTGGAGACAGGAAAAAGATGCCTGAGTTCTTGGAAAGTAAGGGTAGATGGGACCTGCAGGTTGGCCGAGAATGATTCTTCATGTGTAGTTACGGTTTGGAGAGGTCTGGAGGTAAAACCTTGCTTCTTTTATATGATCAGATGGAGAATTTGTATGACAAAGCATACTTGGTATGTGTAGCGTAAGGAACAAAACCTCATTTATGGTTCATCTTTATAGGTCAGCTTTGCATGTAATAAGCATCATTAAGTAAAACAGGAAGGAAAAGTTGAATTTCATGAATGTTATTATGGATCTTTACAACTGCTGGTCAAAATTGAAGTACCATGTTTTCTACTTATGAGTGAACTTTTCCTGTTAGCGTTAGCTATGTAAGATCCCCCTTTTTAGTGAAGAGTTGTCTTCTACCACCCATGAGATTTGGCATCACTGCCATATTGGAAGTTGTAAAACAGGGTTGGCCCTTTTGTGCTCCCCCTCTGGCTGCCTCCCATTTTCCAAACAAAAGAATATGCAGAAATATGAGATAAAGCAGTATTTCCTCTCTGGCTTTTGACAAGAAAATGGTGCTCACTTTATCTAGCCACTTCTTGTTATTCCTGGCTTAATGAGAAGTCAAGGTAGGCACAACAAGAGACAACTTTAATCCATTGCCTTGCACCCTACCTGCCACTCGGTCTCTGCCCTCAAAATGGCTTCACTCACATGTAGACCCAGGGACGTGGCCCTTGCTCTCAGTGTCGTAGGGATAGCTTGGGACATGTGAAGCAATAACAGCCGTTGTTGCAGATACATCCTGATGCTCATGTGCATACATACATGCACACAGAAGTAAAACCTTTCATACTGAGTGTAAACAGGTGAATATTAACTTCCTGATATACTGCGTGGGTAAACACGAGAAAGTCGTTATGATGAAATGGATGTTGTTATGAAGGAATATCATGTATGTAGTTGTTTAATATGAAATTTATTCTTGGTACATTCATATATACTGAACAATTAATTTTTTAAGACTTGTTATTTATTTTCATTGGAAACGTAGCTTTTCTGAGAGGAGGAGAGACAGAAAGATCTTACATCCTCTGGTTCCTGCAGCAGATGACTGCAATGACCAGAGCTGAGCCAATCCAAAGCCAGGGCCATGAGCTGTCCTTCACTGTTTTCCTAGGTCACAGGCAGGGAACTAAATGAGAAGTGGAGCAGCTAGGACATGAACTGGTGCCCATATTGGATGCCCATGCTTGATGGTGGAGGATTAGCCAATTAAGCTCTTGTGCTGGGCCATATGGAGCAATTATTAAGCATTAGGAGAACTCTGTTTTGTTACTGTCCTAACGAGTGTTTCCTGATAGTAAAATACTTTCTAGGTTGTGGAGATAGGAGTGAATGTATCTGTTTTAGTAATAAATTCTGCCTGATAAAAATGTGCTTTGTTTTTGCTCCCCTAAAATCCTACTATTAAGTGTAAATGCCTGTGTCACATCTGTTCCGTACTTCTCTCTGATATGGGTAATGTATGCAAGCATAGAGCATTGGCATTCTTGGCAGTTAAACTGGCTGATTCATCTCTCTTTGGCAGAATGCCCTCCTGCCTGCAGGGTTTCGACAGAAGAATCAGACGTCAAAGTCTGCCACAGGGCCATTTGACAGGGACCACCTCCTGTCCTACCTGGAAAAGGAAGCTCTGGAGCATAAGGACAGGGAAGACTACGTGCCCTACACAGGTGAAAAGAAAGGTAAGCCCGCGTGGTGAAGGCAGCACCTGACAGCACTCAATTTCTCTTTCTATAGGAGAATGATGGGCAGAATATCTTAGCACCATCCCATTGGTAGCATTAAAGATGTGGTACTGTTGACTTAAGAACTTGTTAGGTTATGTATTTACATTTCAATCCACTTGGCCAGTAAGTACTTTTTAAGGTATTCATTAGTGAGATTTTTATTGCACAGTGACTTTGTGTAAGCCTCTTTAGTTATCTGCTGCCACAGATCTGGATACGTGCTGAGATGAAATTTAACTCTGCTAGTAAATTATAGACAGTGATGCACTGCTCAGTTGTAATTCTGTCTAAAGTAGAATGCTGAAACAGTCATGCCATGTTATCAAAGATACCCTTAGTAGTTCATGATTGTAATTGCTGATGCTTCATAATTACTACTTTTGGCAATTTTTTCATCTTACGTATCCTCAGCAGAGACTGAGTACAGCTCTGTTTTTCACAATTCTGTATGTGACTTATGCTGCAGATCCCTCAGCTTTCACAACAGGCCAGAGTACAGGTTGACCTAGAGAGCCAGCTTCCACCTGCACTATTCATTAAGTTAAGATATGCAAGTCCTGGGGCGTGGTGGCAACAGTAGCAGAGTCTGTGACCAGCTCTTCCAGGTCCTGTTTTTATATCTGAGTTACAGTGATCTAAGCAGAAAAAGCGGTTTAGAACACAGGGCCCTCTTTCTTTTATTGACCCATTGGCTTTCTATTTGGGAAGGAAGTTCTTCTCAGCAGTGGGACCAGCACTGTGTTGCAGTAACCACTCTTCAGCTGCAAGGGAAGCTGGGAAATTCATTTCATGTAGAGCTCTGCCACCCTCTAATAAAGGAAGGCCAGTGAATGACTTTCAGTCAGTAGTCCACGGCTCCACATCAGGCTTTTTCAAAGTTGTCTGTCACTCCAGCTCCTCTGCTTCTTCCTTTCATTTCCCTTTCATCTCCAGCGGAGAATCAGTGCCTTTCCTACTTGTAGTGCTTAGAATTCTCCAGAGAAACAGAGCCAGCAGAATGCGGAGAGAGAGATTTAAAGAATTGGCTCCCAGGCCCAGCGAGATGGCTCAGCATTTCTGGAATGCCCCTTCGTGCTACTTCACTTTGTTTTTCCTTTGCCTTCCCAGTGATAACCACCTACACAACTCCTAATCTAGTAAATGACTTCTGCCTTCCTTGAACATTCTGTGAATAAAATCATGATTTGGGCGTTTGGTTTACTGTCTTGTGAGGAGCAGACTTGTTAATGGGTACAGTGGAATCACCCTGAAGGATCAGATGAGTAATTAGAACCAGACAAGAAATAGCACAATTCACAAACAGTAAAAGAGCACAATCTCAGTGTACGGATGATCCTTTTACTTGAAGATACATTGATAAAATGTTGGAAAACTATAGCTCTTTACACTTCTTTTTGAAATTTTGCAAAGCTTTAAGGCTGAGGTGTAGACCCACACAAGGTGGGAGGGGTATTCATCAGCCCCTTATTCCTGGGAGCAGTGAAAATTCACGGCACAGAGTTATCATCTCCCATCGTGCCTTTGCTTGTTGTGAGTACTTGGTCTGCAGAAGGTAAGGCATAATCTTACCATGAATTTCATGAATTTGAAATTTCATGAATTTCTTTTTTTTTTAAGATTTGTTTATTTATTGGAAAGTCAGATATACACAGAGGAGGAGAGACAGAGAGGAAAATCTTCCATCCAATGATTCACTCCCCAAGTGAGTGCAACGGCCGATGCTATGCTGATCTGGAGCCAGGATCCAGGAACTTCTTCTGGGTATCCCACATGGGTGCAGGGTCCCAAGGCTTTGGACCGTCCTTGACTGCTTTCCCAGGCCACAAGCAGGGAGCTCAATGGGAAGTGGAGCTGCTGGGATTAGAACCAGTTCCCCTAAGGGATCCCGGCACGTTCAAGGTGAGGACTTTAGCCACTAGGCCATGCCGCTGGGCCCCAAAATAAATAAATCTTTAAAAAACAAAAAACTCTGAACAACCATTTCTCTAAGCTCTTAAGTGACAAATTCATAAATTCATGGTAAGATTATGCCTTATCTCCAAATTGTTAATATTGTATTGCATCCTTACCTAGACTAAGATTTTTGCTTTGGGTCTGGCGCAATACCTCAGTAGCTAAATCCTCACTTTGCATGTGCTGGGGTCCCTTATGGGTGCTGATTTGTTTCCCGGCTGCTCCCTGCTTGTTGCCTGGGTAAGCCAGTAGAGGATGACCTAACACCTTGGCAGTGTGCACCTGCTTGGGAGACCGGAAAGAAGCTCCTGGCTTCTGGCTTTGGATTGGCTAAGCTCTGGCTGTTGTGGCCACTTGGGAGTGAACCAGCAAATGAAAGATCTCTCTGTTTATCCTCTATGTTTATCTGCTTTTCCAATAAAAATAAAAATCTTAAAAAAGAAAGAAAGAAAGAAGGAAGGAAGGAAAGAAGGAAGGAAGGAAAGAAAGAAAGAAAGAGATGAGAAGAAAGAAAGAAAGAAGGAAAGAAGGAAAGAAATTAGTTAATTTCCCCTTATTTCTCAGATGGGCCAGAGCTGTGTGTGCACTTAGCCTGTGTGTACACTTAGGTGTGCCCTCAGATCCCCTCTGAGCTGCTACTCACCCAGGCTGAAATCTCATAGATCTTCGGAGAGCACTTAAAGTAGGGCCCTCCGTGCTTCTAGAGCCTTGTACACGTCTAGATTTCTTGCTGCTTTTCCCCTCCCTGTGCTGACAGTGGAATTCCTTTAGGTTCCCAAGAATCCTGCAGGCCCTACCCTGTTTTTCTAAAGGTGAGTTAAACAGGATTGTTTTAAGCTGACAACTTGCCATGTACTTTCTAGTTTATTTTTTCTTAGTTATCTTTACTTTCCAAAAATATTCTGGTACTCCCTCTTGTTCTAAAAGAGGTTTCCCTCTTCTGAGTGCACAGTTTGTTTACTGATGCTTTATTGAGCCAGAAAGATCAGAGTTCTACACTGTCTAAATTAACAACATGATCTAACTGCCAGTAAGCATTTGGTTTCCACTAAATTCTAGATAAAAATTGGCTCTTACATTTGTGGTTATCTGTATGAATCCTAAACATTACTTGCATACCTCTGAAAAATGGTCTCCCCAGCACTAAAGCCAATCATTGAAATGGACTGCTTAAATTAGTCACATAGATGTCAGCATCTCCTTTTCAGACTAGTGCCTGGTAGCTTTTGAATAATTTACTTTGAAAAATATTTATTTAAAGGTCAAATTTGCAGAGAGGACACAGAGATTGTCTTCTAGCCTCCTGGTTTACTCCCCAGATGGCTGCAAAGGCCTGTGCTGGGCCAGGCCAATGCCAGGGGCTTCCTGCAGATCTCCCCCATAGGTGGCGGTGGTCCAAACACTTGGACCATCTTGCACAGCTGTTCTCAGACGATTAGCAGAGAGCTGGATTGGAAGTGGATATGAACAGGCGCTTATATGGGATACCAGCAGCACCAGGTAGTGGTTTCTTTTTGTGCTGTGCTACCACAGAGGCCCCAAATAATTCAGCTTGTACTCCTTTGGGGTAAGGAGTTAGCCAGATAAATTCTCTGTCACTTATGTTAAGACCTGGTTTTATGGGAAACCTTCCCCGGATAATTCTACTCACTTTGAATAGTCCTTTCCCCTCTAACATTTCTGTATGTAATTTACATTCAATAGAGTACTGCTTTGAATTGTTTCAGAATTATGTGCTGTGAGGCTCTGTTATTAGCTTTCTTAAAGATTATTTTATCCTCTAATGAATTATCTCTATTTTTGAGAAATTACCTTCTTTATCTGGTAATATTCTTTGGTCTAAAATCTATCTTTTCTAAGATAAGCAGAGCCGATCTTGCTTTCTTCTGCTAAGTGTTAGCATGGTGTATCTTTTGTGTTTGTCTCATTTGTTCTTTGTTCCTTTTTATTCTTCCTTAAAAGAAATCTTCCAAGGGTGAGCATTGTGGTACCGTGGGTGGCACAGTTAGGCTGCTGTTTGCAATGCTTGCATTTCATATTAGAGTGTTGATTCAATTCATTGCTGCTCCGTTTCCACTCCAGCTCGCCACTAACGCACACTCTGGGAGGCAGACAGCGCTGTTTCAAGTGCGTGGGCCCTTGCCGTGTGCTCACGCAACAGGCCCAAATGCAGTTCCTCGCTTTGGCCTGAGCCAGCCCTAGCTTTCGAATTTAAGGAATGAAACAGCAGTTCTCTGTAACTGTGCTTTTCAAATGGATGAAAGTGAACAGTATAAAAATTTTATGTCTCTTTAAATATTTGAATATACAATAATTGTTTTGATGTCATTGTCTGTTAGCTTTTTGCCTGTGTTTGTTCAGTAGATTATGATGGATTAATTTCCTTTTTTCTCCTACTTATAGATTGATTTTTCTTGCCTCTTTGGATTCAGGTAAATTTTTACTGAGTGCCAGGTGTTTTAAATTTTAGTGATGGATATTACTGTAAATACATTTGAGTTTCTTTTTGGGATATACTTCGACTCCTTGGAAATAGTGTATTCATTTTTTTGAGATTGGTTGATTGATCTGAAAGAGTTAGCAAGCATAAGTGAGCACTAGCCATTTTCCACCTGCTGGTTCACGCAACAAATGGCTGCAACAGCCAGGACTAGGTGGGACCAGATCCAGGAGCCAAGAACTCATCCAGGTTGGACATGCATGTGCAATGGCCAAGATACTTGGGCCATGTTCCATTGCTTTTCTGGATGCAGTAGCAGAGAGCTCGATCTGAAGCAGAGCAGCTGGGATTCCAGCTGGCCCCATATGCGATGCTGGTGTTGGAGACAACAGCCTAACACAGGTCCTGCAGTGCTTGCCCCACGTTAGTAGCAGTTTTATTCCTTTAAGATTTGTTAGGTGGGAACCTGGCCTGATGACCTAGTGACTCAATCCTCACCTTGCACACAGCAGGCTCCCATATGGGCACTGGTTCCTGTCCCGGCTGCTCCACATCCCATCCA